AGGACTAAACCAGGACTAAACTAAACCAGAACTAAAGAAAACTAAACCAGGACCAAAAACCAGAACTAACACCAGGACTAAAACCAGGATTAATCCATTCCAGGACTAAACTAGGACTAAAGTAGGACTAAAAGTAGGACTAAACCAGGTCTAAACCAGGACTAAAACCAAGGACTAAAACCAGTGATCCTCATATATAAAGCATTTCTCTATCAATAATATTTTTAATATGGTTAAGGAAAGACTGGACTTTTTATTGTCTTTAAGTAGACAAAAGTTATTATGTTCAGATTTCCTCGTCTTTGCTACTTTACAGCAAACAGTTTCTTATTCATGGAGACTTGGGCTCAACAGCCAATTTGGAGAGATTTGTTAAACAATAAATGACTTTATAAAGTCACTTTTTTTAAATCTATATCAGTCTTTTGATCTGCCACAATAATGTAATAATGAATTTAAATGAAAATATCTCAAATTGAAGGCTTTTCTCAGCAATTTTTAGGTGAGATTAAAATGAGATTAATTAGATTAATTCATTACAGATCATAATTAATTTAATCTCTCAATTTTTTTAATCGCATGACAGCACTAGTTTTAATTTCTACTTTTTCTCTTATATGTACTGTAAGTCGTAAGTGAAAATGTAAATGCAAACTTGCTGTTCATACTCTGCTATTCTTTCTTGGAATTCTGTCATTGTTTCAAAGGGTTAGGCATTCTAAGTACCTTTTACTTCAACCTAAACCCTTTCGGTCATGATCCATAGGGTTGGAGTCTATGTTTTGTTTTGTTTTGTTTTGTACTTCTGCAAAATTATCCAATGAACTTCTACTACTGCTATACTACTATTACTACTACTACTACTACTACTACTACATATATATTCATAAAATTACACCCTTTAATAGTAATTTCCCAATGTATATTGTGAAGTTGATTAGAGCTGATCTACTCCAGTCCTAGTCGAGGCTACTCCCTGTGTATGTATGTGTGTATACGGGCCGTATGTATTGTATGTATGTGTATTAGGGATGGGCATGATTAATCGATTAATCGATAATTGATCATTAAGAATTTCATCGATTACGTTAATTTTAATCGACAAACCGAATGTAGGTTGTTGTGTGTAGCGTGACACAAACAGGGGTCTGTACACGTGTCTCTCTGCACTCAGAAGGAGCGAGACACAAACAGTCGGTCAGTCTGCAAAGTGCTGAAGCACAAATGCGTATTTAACGATGATTTGTACAAGAAATTCCACACTTTCCGTTGCGTTTGGGACAAGTGTGAGTCCATGTGCACAGTGTACAAAGCAGGAACATATGTTTCGGTGTCCAGTGGGAAAAAGTTTTTCCAGGTGAGAGTCGCGCAATGTCGATGACGAGTCCCCACCTCCCTCCCCCCGTACGGTGTCCTGGTTTTGACAAACGCAAATCTGGTCACACTAACCTGTATTCCACTGAATCATGTCTTTTAATCCAACAGAAATTGACCGCATCAGCGACACAAGAGCTGTAGTTTTATCTTCGCTGAGTTTATGCAAATTAGCGATGCGGTTTTAAGTTTGGTTTCTGTGAGAGTTGCACAAAACTGAATTAAACACATTATAATGTTAAACGGGCTGATGTGGCTCTAGAGTGGTTACGGTTTATATGTCGTAAGGTTGAATTTATTTATGCAGATTAGTAGTGCAGATAGTAATATAATAATGATGATCATTTTAATATAAAAACGTTAATGATTAATCGATAATCGATCATTAATTCTTCCAACGATCGATTAAGAAAATTTCATCGAATGCCCATCCCTAATGTGTATGTATGTGTGTATCGTGTGTACGGCCTGTATGTATTTGTATGTATGTGTATGTATGCGTGTATCGTGTACGGGGCCATATGCATTTGTGTGTATGTGTATGTATGTGTGTATCGTGTGCACAGGCCGTATGCGTTTGTGTGTATGTGTATGTGTGTATTGTGTATACAGGCCGTATGCATTTGTATGTATGTGTATGTATGTGTGTATCGTGTACGGGGCAGTATGCATTTGTATGTATGTGTATGTATGTGTGTATTGTGTGTATGGGCCGTATGTATTTGTATGTATGTGTGTGTATGCGTGTATCGTGTGTATGGGCCGTATGTATTTGTATGTATGTGTATGTATGTGTGTATCGTGTGTACGGGCGGTATGCATTTGTATGTATGTGTACGTATGCGTGTATCGTGTACGGGCGGTATGTATTTGTATGTATGTGTATGTATTTGTAAGTATGTGTATGTATGTGTACGTATGCGTGTATCGTGCATTTGTTGTATTGTAGAAACAGTCGGTCCCAGGGCCACGCCCACCCCCACACATCACGAGGGCATCCGCGTGCGCCCCCTGCTCCTTTGGACCAATCAGGAGCCCCGCTGTGAGCTCGAGGGCGGGGGAGGAGGCAGCGCGAGGAGGCAGCGCGAGCCCTCTGTGACAGCTCGCGCTTCAGTACTGCACCGAAGATAGGAAAAAGACACGAGGTCTCACTCTGTAGAAACCAGCAGCAAAACATCTAAAGCGAAACTCAGTGAAGACAGAAAAATACTTTCATCAAGTATGTTTATCCAGAATTAAACATGATAAAACATATAAATTAAACATGTAAAAGGTAATGTATCATTGCTCAAGCTATTTCAATGGTTTTATGGTAAGTTCCTTGTGCATAGGCCTGTATTTCATCAGCCTTTCTTTTATTTAATCACTTTAAAAGTGCACAGTGTAACGTTTCTGGTAGAGGGTCTGTCATATTCAGGTCTCCATGGAGACGATGGAGTGATTACTTTGCTTGGAATGTTCCACTGTATGGCATTACATTGAATTCCAAAAACAAACACACCAACAGTAGAATGTTTTTCATGGTTTTGTCTTACACATATTATTCAGCAGTAGATATAGCTTTTATTTCAAAAACTTATAACAGTGACTGATGTCATGTGTTTCAAGTTATCGAACTAGATTTAGACTTAGACTTAGACAGACTTTATTGATCCACAAGGGAAATGATTTGGACACAGGAGCTCACACATCACAATATAATATAATAACAACGCAAAAAATATAAATAATAGTAATAAAAACTTCTTAATAAGTAGCTATAAAAATTAGTAAGAGACTGGAGTCAAATAAGGAATAATTATATAAATGTATACATACAAGTAAGTAAAAAACAGAAATATAGTAATATAAATAGAGTATATCACAGTTATATACAAGAGGTCATAAGGATTTTACCTGTCATACAGATTACACACTTCTCCATGAAGATGGGAGTCTGTCACTGATCTGATTGCACGGCTGTGTTTGGCACTGGTGTGAGCTGCAGCAGGAGGTGTGGTGACTAGACTGATGTCCCTCTGTGCAAAAATACACCCTCCTCTCACCTCCTCCAGAGCACACAGCTTGTTCAGTCTTTTACTGCCCCACTCTGTTTTGCCCAGTGCCCCATGCTGAGAGAGTAAGAGACCATCTCAGAGGGACCTCATTCTCCTCAGAAGATGGAGGCATCTTCAGCCCTTCTTTTAACAGGCTGCAGGATGTTGGTGATTTGTTGTGGGGGTTAATTTTATATTTATCCTTAAACCTTTCATTGCAAATTATATAGGCATATAACCAATATCAGATTTCTTAAAGGCTAAGGGACACTTTCTGGTCACCTTAGAGGAACATGTTCTTCGCATTTGACCCATTGTTCAATGTGCTGTGCACCACAGGGGACTCACATCCAGATCTTGAACTTTGTCAGGACTATCTTAAGTGGAGCTGTGGAGGATATATACAATGCATGTTGTTGTTGATAGGAAACTAGAGTACTTAGAGAAAACCCACCAAGATAAGGGAAACCACACTCAGCCTCTGCATAGAAAGACAGAGACAGTCCAAAGGTTGAACTCTAAACCTTCTTACCTCTATGAGGTGAAAGTGCAAACCACTCAGCCACTGGCATGCTACAACCAGCACCACTGGAGGATGGGTCAAAATACAGAGGACATCTTTATTTTAAATCTTGACATTATTTCATGACTGCAGTGTGGGTTAGGGTTACTGTAATGTGAGTTGTGTGCATGTATGTGCTATAATATAACACGAATGTAACGACATTCTCCAACAGGCTCCTACAGCTCTGCTCAGTGTGAGATACAGGACTACATTCATACTATAATACTCCCTACAACTGTACAACAACTCACCCTTATGGAACAGATAATACTCCCTACAACTGTACAACAACTCACCCTTATGGCAGAGATAATACTCCCTACAACTGTACAACAACTCATTCTTAAGGAACAGATAACACTCCCTACAACTAGACAACAACTTACCCTTATGGAACAGATAATACTCCCTACAACTGTAAAACATCAGAACTATTATGTAACAGATAATACTCCCTACAACTGTACAACTCGCCGTTATGTGACAGATACTACTCCCTACAACTTTACAACTACTCACACTTATGGAACAGATAATACTCCCTACAGCTATACAACAACTCACCCTTATGTGACAGATAATACTCCCTACAACTGTACAACATGAGAACCCTTATGTGACAGATAAACATATGTCCTGTCAATAATCATATCATCGTTGCCCTGTCTTCCTATGACCTCCTGCATATATTTTATATATTATTTCTTATTTTTAAATTTTATTTTGACTTGTTTTATAATTATGTCTTATTACTTGACGCCTGTCTCTTGCTCTTTTTGCTACTTATTTAGAGTGTATTATTACCTACCATTTATATTTTAGCTTTTTGTTATTATAATATATTGTGATGTGTGAGCTACTGTGTCCAAGTCATTTCTCTTGTGGATCAGTAAAGTTTGTCTAAGTGTAAGTGTAAGTTTGATATGTTTTATTTATTCTCCAGTCGCTCCATGTCGCTTGTGCGTGAGTGAGTGAGTGCTCGTCTCTATAGCGGACCTGCGCCGCGCTCGAAAGGGAAAGGAAACACTTCTCCATTTCCTAAATCCCCTCCCGCTCTGCCTTTAGCTCTAACCAACCGTCTGTTTGATCGACCTAAAGGCTCCGAGTCGCTCTTCTCCTCTCGATTCCGCCTTCCCTGCTTCATTTTTGGACTCCCCCTTCCCTCCAGACCCCGCTTTTTCGCCGCCTCTTGCCCGATCTCCTCGTCGAATCCCAGGCGCCAGATTTAGCGAGCCCAAAGTTGACAGGCGAAGCTAACCCCCCAAAAACTAGCCCGGATTTGACTCACTTCCCTGGGGCGTCATCTCGTCCACTCGTCCCCGGCCGCTTGTGGATACCTCCCCGTGAAGCTGACGAGTGTCCGCGGTGGGTTTGATCGCTGGTAAGCCGGTTGTTTGTTAGCAGGCGTGCGCGGTTTAGCCTGCTAGCTAATACCCTGCGTATTTAGCCAACACCAGGCCTCAGTCCAGCCCCAAAAGCATCTGCTCCAAACACTATTCGCATCGTCGTGCAGTGATAGTTGACAGGTGAGTGCCAAATACGTCTCATTTTCTCTTTGCATTCATCGTAGGGAGCGTTTATCGACTCTCTTGTGATCGTGTTGACAATGTTGTGTGTGTTAGCTCCAGTGCTAATCACATTCGAGCTCGGTTCTAAGCGATGGGGGTTGGGGAATCCGCGAAATCACGCCGGAGGTCGCCATCTTTCATTGGATGCTGCAAAAAGGACTGATCTCCGCTAGCGAGACACGGCTGCAACTCCGCTCCACTTTACGACGGGTTATTTTGTGTGTTTACGCCCAGAAAAAAAGGTTTAACGAGTGTGTTTGTGTCGCTGCGTGTGCCTGTGACGGGAATGTGGCGGTGTTACTGCAAAAACACGGTGGATTTTTGTGTTGTTGTCAAAGATGAGACGTTTCTAAGTTGTGTTGAACTCTAAAAAACGTACCTCCCCATTACAAGGATACTACGATAATGCCATTTTGTATCGCGATTTTCATGGGTGATTGCGATTTGATATCACCATATGCTACATTGCTGATGGTTTATTAAATGTCAGGGATTTGAATAGGACTTATATTTATATTATGAATACTAGGGCTTTGCAAAAATACTGAAATATCGACATTGTATCGTTTAATGTGATGATACAGTATCGATATCGTGGGCTGCTGTATTGCTGTATCACCAACATTGTTTTTGTGTATTTTACTGAATAATTTTGTTAGAGCTACAATTTTGTTGCTTGTTTAGAGAAAGGAAACTCGTTTATGCGACACATTTGACATTTTCACTGTTTTGAGGATTAAAATGAGTGACAAGTGAATGAACAATGAACTGTAAAGCGCTTTGGGTATCTTGAAAGGCAAAGATTAAATGCAATGATTAAATTAAATGGAAATGTTTGTTTTTCATATGAACTTTGCACAAGAAGTGGTTTATCAAAGACTTTTAGTATCACAGCCATGATTTAGCCTTTATTTTTTTATTGAACCATATTGAATCGATTTGAAATATATCGTATTGTATCGAATCGAAAGCTCACTGTATTGAGACCTGTATCGTATCGTGGCCTATGTATTGGGATATGTTCCGTATTGGCATCTTCTGAATGATACTCAGCCCTAATGAATAGAGTTTTCCATAGGTTCTGGTAAAGACAATGGGGCCACAATTCATTTTAGTTTGAGTAATTTAATGGTCCGTGTTCTAATGTTGTTTCCGTCATCACTAACAGACCTGGAGTTGTTTTGTTTCATTCACGCGTGTTTAACACACAATCCCTGCATATTTAGCCTGAGTTCTTCTCTTAAAGTGAAAACACGCTGTTCCAACGGTCATGTCATGTGGTAATGCAGGAAGTGCCTCACACCTTCACGAGAATCATTTGTATGAGTTCAGATCTGTAATTGTCAATCTTTATTGGATTAAAAGTAAAAGGTAGCTGTTAACTTGAAAACTGCCACTAAATGACATCACAAGATGGAACAGAGCATTTGGTGATGTAGACAGAAGTGTTACTCAAACGTGTGAATGAAACAAAACACAGCTTCAGGTCTGTTTGTGATGAAGAAACAACATTATAACATGGCTTAAGTGTAATTTAGGACCTTTAATCTCCTATTGTGTGTAAATCTTGTTTATTGTCTGTATTTAATCTTGTACACAGTCATTTACCAAGAATCATTACTATGAAGGGGCACCGTAGTGTCCTGTATCAATCATTGAAATAATAATATGACTTTTACTTAGTTATAAATGAAATGGAGAATGAGCCAGAAGAGTACATCATCTGATCAGGTCGCTTTTTCCTGCTTACTCTGGTGGTCTAAGAGTGATTAATACAGAAACATATCACATGATTATTATCAACCCCTTTTTATTGGGATAAAAAGCTTTTTTTTTTAAGACTAAATATTTGTTCATTGAATACCGCATTTAACTTTTTGTGATAATGCCATTTACTTTAAGATCCAAAGAGATAAGGTTGTCAGCTATTTTTGAAATAGTGATGTTTTCATAGTGGCATATTTATTATTACGCTACAAATGAATGTTCAGTACTTTTATATGAATTTCTAACTTCAGACTCCAGTGGACTGCAGTTTGAAAAGAAATTACTGCTGTGCTGTCGTATTCATGATAAAAAAAAAAAAACATTGATCATTTTTTAAAAACATAGTTTCTTATGTTTGTTGAACTCTTATAGACTGAATATCTTGTGGAAAGCAAGATACACGCCACTTTGTTTGCTTGAAGTTATCACCTGTAATTGATGTTGGCATTGGCATTTTGACAGTATCTTGTGGTAGAATTTTGTGAACATGTCATTTTGGTTTTTGGTTTTACTCCTCACAACTGTTTTTAAATCATTATTTATCTTATTCACTGATTTGCAAAATTAGAACAAGGATCTTCCATCTCTTGGTGCTCAGTTTGTCTCCTAGATGAAGTAATAACTTTTATTCAGCTGTATTATATGGAGCCATAAAGTCTGTTTTTCATCAAAATCCTTATAGATGTAAGTCAAAACGGATAGTCACAATCCTCACAAGCAAAAGAAAAGGTCCTATATTACTCAAAATTGACTGTTATGATGTTTTTACCTCTTGAAAAACAGACCTGGAGTTGTTTTGTTTCATTCACACATTTATAATCCTTCATTATTAGTCCAAAGCTCAAAATGCTCTGTTCCACCTTGTGATGTCATGAAGCTGTAGTTTTCAAGTTAATGGCTACATTTGACCTTTTGTTTAATAGAGATGGGCAATCTGATGGCTGAAATCACTCAAATGATTCTAGTGAAAGTGTGTGGAGTTTAAAAACACAGTGCAGCACTTCCTGTATTACCATATGACATCACAAGTTGGAACAGAGTGTTTTCTGTTTAAGAGAAGAGCTCATCTTAAATATGCAGGGTGAAACAAATGAATGAAACAAAACAGAACTCCAGGTCTGTTCGCGATGAGGAAACAAAATTATAACAAAGATCAGAAATGGTGTAATATGGGGCATTTTTAACTTTCACATGTTCTAATATGAAAACTTTGCAAACACACCCAGCTCTCCAAAGCAAAGCAGAGCAGAGCAGGGAGGGTCAGGCACTGGGCACTAGTGTTGTGCTTTTGTGTTCTGGTCAGAATGGAGAATGGGAGAATGGGAGTTTGGGTGTGGGGAGGAGAGGAGGAGGAGGTGTGCCAGTCTGCTCTAGAGCCTGGTCTGGGCCTGGCATGTGAGCGGGTGCTGCGGCGCTGGGAGCATGTGTCACAGGCTAATTTCACCTGCACTGCGTCTGTGTGAGGGCTCCGGTCATACGGTGTTTATAGTGTTTATGAGCTGGGGTAGAGCTTCCCAACGTGTGGCTCACATGACCCAAATACTGCTGATGGATTGTTTTGATAAGGACTTTACCAGTGGTTCTTAAAGTGTTGTCACGATACTACAATTTCAACACTAAGGAATAGACTTGAAACTCAATACTGATTCCGATACTACAATGATAATTAAAGGTGCACTATGTAACTTTATGGTTGTGGGTCCATCACCTGCTTGTTTCTATGGAGATGTCATTGCTCTGTCTGGAATGTTCCTCAGTGTGACATTAAACAGCTCCACCTTACATTTATTCAGGTACACGTTTGTTTGTAGCTCAAAAATACTGAGACAAAACATATATTCTGACTGTGAGCAGGGTCGCCTCTCCACAGATCTGAGCTGTAACTTGTAGGGGTGTAACAATAACCGAAATATCGTGATATCATCAAAGTTCTCACAATAATATCATTGACCATCGCAATATGTCAAATTACAAGTCTCTTTACTTAAATTAAGATCTATGGACAGAGGGAACTACATAGACCATGATCCTTTGCTCCATTTCAGTGCAGACTATGTACTTTCTATGAAGAAATAACAGTTCTAAGCACTTTTAATTCTCAGTTCTTTGGATTAAGTCTTGTTAAGGCATTTTAAGAGGAAAAAGTAGCATATTCAGTTTTGTTGCCTCCACAAAATAACACAATAAATATCGTACCGTGAGATATATATTGTGAAAACATCGTTCCGAGAGATTAGGATATTGTTAGATCCCTAATCGTGAGCCTCCCCATCATATCATGAGCTTTCCCACGATATCACAATAAATATCGTACAGTGAGATTCATACCGTGACGATATCATATTGTGAGACTTGGACATTGTTACACCCCTAGTAACTTGGTCTGGTCTTCATGAACGTAGGAAGATTTAAAGGCATACTGTGAAACATTCCAGACAAAGCAATAACATCGCCATGGACAAAATTTGATGGACCCTCCCCCAGAAAAGTTACACAGTGCACCTTTAACAGTATTTCTTTTGACAATAGAATGAGTCTTGGTTAGAGTTACTGTTGGTGGAATGGTCTAGTCCTACTTCAAACTGGGTTTAGCCTTAGTTGAGCTGTGGAATAACTAGTTTATGGACCAGCTTAAGATCTGGCGGTACGTGAAGGGCAGATATTTTCTTAAGTGGTACTTGGTGTGGAAAACATAGGAGCTGCTGTCCTAGTGTCTTTTTAAAGTGAGTTTAATCAGTTGCTGTTTGTTCTGGACTCCATAACATGCCATGATCTGAGAGAAGGTTTAAAGGTGCATTTCGTAACTTTTCTGGTGGGGGTTATGTCAAATGCTTTTCTCCATGGAGATGTTATTGCTTTGGAATGTTTCACAGTATCACATTAAACCTTTCTATCTTCATGAAGCTCAAACCAGACCAAGATACATGTCAGATCTAAGCTATAAAACGACCTGTAATTGAATAAATCTAAGGTAGAACTGTTTAATGTATAATTTACCTCAAAATTGTGAAATAGTGGGTTTTTTTTAATGAAAAATAAACTGTTGTTTGTGTGTTTCTCTGTAAATTAACTTGATCCATCAGGTTTGCCTGAAGTGTACCCATTGAATTGTAATCTGATCTCTCTGACTATCTGCTATTTTGGTCATCTTGTCCCATCGCGATTCAGTGCTTTTCTCTTTAATACAACTC